GCGAATAAATGGAATTATATCCTTGGCAATGGCTGCAGTCGAGCAGAAATGATCAATTGCTGCAGGCAGGACGACGAATGCTTAAGGTAAGTCAAATGAGGATAAAGCTGGGGATGGGGAAGGTCTGAAAGTAACTGACGTTGCAGTACACGGCTAAAAATATTACCCAATTGGGTAATTGATTTGTAAGTAATTGAGATTGTTTTTATACCCTTGCAGAGGGTATTATAATTTCAGTCAGAAGTTTGCAACGCAGTGAAGGAGACATCTCCGACCCTATAAAGTATATATATTCTTGATCAGCATCACTAGGCGAGTCGATCTAGCCATGTCCGTCTGTCCGTCTGTCCGCCCGTTTATATGCAAACTAGTCTCTCAGTTTTAAAGCTATCTGCATGAAACTTTCCCAAAAGTTGTCTTTCTATTGCAGGTAGTATATAAGTCGGAACGAGCCGGATCGGACGACTATAGCATATAGCTCCCATAGGAACAATCGGAAAAATAAAGGAAAAAAAATTATAACTTTGCTGTTTTTTAATTTTTTGTTTAGTTCTTCGACATTTAGTAATGGTTAAATATTTCCGATTTACGGTTTAAATTTCATCAAAATCGGACGACTATAGCATATAGCTCCCATAGGAACAATCGGAAAAATAAATGAAAAAAAAATTATAACTTTTCTGTTTTTTAATGTTTTGTTTAGTTCTTCGACATTTAGTAATGGTTAAATATTTTCGATTTACGGTTTAAATTTCATCAAAGTCGGACGACTATATCATATAGCTCCCATAGGAACAATCGGAGAAATAAATGAAAAAAAATTATAACTTTTCTGTTTTTTAATTTTTTGTTTAGTTCTTCGACATATGGCAATGTTTAATTATTTCAGAATTATGGTTTAAATTTTATCAAAATCGGACGTCTATATCATATAGCTCCCATAGAACTAATAAAAATATATAAAATAACTATCTAATAATTGAGCTGCAAATCATCATAGCTTCACTGTTTTTCAGTATATACTGAAGTAAATCATAATTTAAATGTTTTCAAAAGTATTTAATTCATGCAATAGCTGCAAGGGTATATGAACTTCGGCTTGCCGAAGTTTGCTTTCTTTCTTGTTACAAATGGCATACACATGTCACTAAATTTTATTTTATTTTTGTATGTTTTGAATATACTGTTGTTAACTAACAAATAGTATCTAGTTTCTATTTCCCTTACGAGCCCTAAAAATTTAACAATTATACAAGATTACATTTATTATTTCGGCCACTTTTAAATTGGGATATATAATAGTTAATAATATAAAAACATTTCCTAAATAAACAACAATTCCCTGTTAAAATATTTGAAATAAAATTCATAACAAACCATTAAGCTCACATTTGCTTCTCTTAGTGCACCAAAAACCGATATGCCAGTGAACCATGCGAGTGCATGCCAGTCAGGATTGCAGCCTCCAGGAAAAGTTGGCAAGAGCACTGGGTGATGGCTGTCCCATGACGATGCATCACTGGCAGCTGTGGTCTGGGCAGCCTTTAAGCCTTTTTAGTGGCTGCTGGTCCGAGCCGATAAAACGCTTGACTGCCGCCACACGTCACCATTCCGCCAGCGACTCGAAGGGACAAAGTTGGGGCAATTTATGCGGGGGCTCGGTTCAAGTCCCGATGGCCAGACGCTAATGAAGCAGGCCCAGAGCAGAGCAGCAGGCCCGGTCCGGCCGCAGGCCAACCCCTAATCCTTGACACGTGTTGGCCAACAAAGACAGACGGCGAGGGGGACAGATCGAAGGGAAGTTGCGGGCCACAAACAGACTGCTAGGCATTTGAAATGCGTTCCCACAATTATGGAAATGTTATAAATAGCTAGTGGAGCACACTGGCCGCCATTTGAATGCCCTTAAAAATTGTATAAATCGATGACTGTCTATGAAAACAACAAAGTCCAGAGACCTCTTGAAAAAAATACCCTCTTTAGAGTGTATAAAAAGGGACATGCTAATGGGAACGAATTTGGCCGTCATCATGACAATTTGAGTACTGGGAATGTAGAGGAAGAAAAAATGGTCATCAGACGCGACGCAAAAGGAAAACAGACAACAGGAACAAGAATACAAAAATTAAAGAAAAAATGTGTTGCAAACGTAGGGTTCACAAGGTTGTGGACCAATTTTTCGGGCCCTGAAAACCAATAAAACAAAGAATGGAAAACCGCCGAAGGGAAAGGACACGAATAACAAATGAAAGACGGCTGAAATCTTTTGCGGAAAAGAATACAAATGTTGCAAGTGTTTTCTGAGATATGCAAATATATGTTCACGTTTCCTGTACCGTATTAATTAATTGGATTTCCAATTCAATTTTAGGACTCCTTTGGTTTTCTCTGCCAAGTCCAACTTAGATAATCCAATCTGCACTGTGGCACGCTCTTGGCTCAATTTGCCGAATCATTTGCAATCGGCCAATTGGCCATCCCGCCATTTGTGACCCTGTCTGCGTCCCTGTGCTGCCAACTGACCATATATCTTGGCCATGATTGCTTTTCAATGCGTTTGGCGAATGCTCCAAGGCGAGGACAAGGGGGCGAGTTTGAAAGCTTGGCATTTGCCAAAATTCCTCTGTTTGTCCGCTGTCTCTGAGGGGGAGTTCAAGGACAGTTATGACCCACAATGGCCCGCTCCACCCCATTCTGCCCCCATTCAATCCTTCGCTACGGCTTGTGGTTCTTTTTTGTTCGCCATGGTCATGACGTTTTATCAAAAAACGCTAAAATGCGTCGCAGCCCGAAAGTAGGCAACGCTTATGGGGGTGAGGCATTTGTTCAGTGCCAAAAATAACAACCAAATGAATGACGCATATTACATGAAATGCTCTCTATAAATGGCCAAAATGAGGATGCAGCCCCCAAGCTGAGAGGGGGCGTGGCATAAACAAGCCAGCTCGTTTGCTGCGGAAATGCAGCTGCCAGAGAAATAAAGATGGCCAACGGAATGGAAGGAGGACCAGTGAAATGCGCAGCTAATTGCGTACTCAAAGGATAAAAGAAGGGAGGCGGGGTTGGTGCTCCATTAGTACTTGGTAAGAGAAAACCAACAGCAAAAAGTCTGTTAAGTATAAAAAGTTGTATGTACATATAGAGTTTCCAAATTAGTGGAGATGAAAAGAGAGACTTTAAAAATATATTTTAAAATACCTTAAATCACAATCCATTTAGATATAAATTAAAGCAAATAATATAAAAATGTCAACTCAGTTTATGCCTTACTAAACATAAATATAAAATTACTTTTATTGCTTTTTTTTGAGAGTTAGAATTTTTTAATTTAGTTCAGTTTAATTTTCCACTTGAAGAGTTTGTAATTTATATTTATTTTCCAGCCCTTTTAAAGTTTTTAAAACACAATTCATTTTTAATGATCAAAGGAATGCATGTTGAAACAGCTGTTAATATATATATTGGATTTTCCCTCTCATTTAAAAATGCAATCGACATAGATTTTCCCTCTTAATTAAAATAAAATTACAGAGGAGAAAATGTATTTCCAAACAAATTTGTTAAAATTTTTACATCCTTTTAAAAAACAATATTAACAAAATTTTGCGGTCCACCTGAATATCGATTAATTTTAATGAATGTTCATTAACGATTCTACTGCATTGTGGTTAAGGGTTAACTTAATTGAAGAATGTGGAATGATGAACATAATCCGTTTTCGACTCTCCATTAAAAGAGTTCTCATGTTCTTTCCTGTCGTCAGTTGCCATCCGCCTGTTACAGATAATGCGCAGAAAGAGCGACTTTCGCAGTTTAAATTACATTATTAAACTCATTCGAAAGAGGGAGAATTTTCTGCGGCAAAGTTGGGCCATTAAGCGTTGCAACAAGCCATCAGCTAGCCACTGCAGCACGAACATTTTGGGCCAACAAAAGGGAGCAAGTTTTTACTTTCGGGTGACCTCTCACCCCTCTCAACCTCCCTCCTTGCTGACCACCAGTCAAAAACTGCAGCGGAATCAACAACACTGACAACTGCTGACTGCCAACTATGCTGACGACGTAAACAGAAACTTTCAGCATCGCTGAATTTTTGCAGCTTCGGCTTTGTATGTTGTTGAGCCCGCTTGTTGCATGTTGCAATGTGTCAGCAGCACGCCCCCTTGACCCCCTAGCCCCTTAACCCCTGCCTGCGTTTGACAAACGCCGCCATTGACGTCATTGGAGTTAACCCTTGGCCAGGCCCAGCATTTAGACGCACAGGTGGCTGGCGTGGGCGGGTTCAGTCAGCTCAGTCAAAGCTGCAAAAATGCTTTTGTGGCTTAACCCACCGCGTCCGGGTGCAGCAATCGAAGCGTGCCAGGAACACGAGGCGTAAGCTCGCCCTTAAGCCCCTTTTCGCCCTCCACTCCCTCCACTAGCCTCACAATCAGTGGGAGTACCATTCCGCATAGGCATACGCATCCCATGGAATTTTTCAATTTTTCTCGAAAAAACAGGCATTATTTAAAGCCTGTCAACAAATGCAGCAGACCCAGATAATAACCCGCAAAAGGCTTTAGACATAAAGCGATCAATTCAACCACTGCCAAGTGAACTGCAAATAGTTTCACATTTTTAGCAAGTATTTATTTATTTATCATTTTAGCACTTGAAGGTAAACTTGTATTTTTATGTTCTGTTCACAAAAGTGGCAGTATTATTCTTGATCCTTGTTATTATTATTTATAACAAGCTACAAGCAAACAGTGGTTTACAGCAGCTTTAGCAACGGCAGGGCTAAGAGATTTAAGAGATTTGTTTGTTTAATAATATTTTTGTTTACATTTTTTATATTTTGTTGATATTGATGTAAAATGAATGTTATTTTCGGTGGGTAGGATGAAATATATTATATTATGAATGGATAGAAACAATTATGGGAAAGGGCTTTTTAAGAAATAATCTTTTTTTTTATATTACATTTATGCTGTTTTATATGTTTCTGTACCGCATTTTTCTGTTCTTTATTTTTCTGTTCTATATTTTTCTGTACCTTAATACAATCCATTTCATTTTGTTTGTAATCTTCTGGCAATATAAGCCATTTGATTTTTTTGAGCTTATGACAAAACTATCTCTCTTTTGCTCTTAGTACAATTGGTGCTAGTTTGCTAGTTTTATATAAGCACAGAATATGACTATGATTATATTACATTTTATTTTTACTTTACATAAAATATGTAGCTTAATATACGAACTTTTACACAGATGAATAATTCTAAGCAAAATGTGCGGTTAAAACCGGTTCCGTTCGTTCATTTTCTTTACTTTTTCCATGTTCTATCAACGCCTGCCTTTGGCCGAAAGAATTGCAAATAGGTGCACACTCGATGCACTCGATTATGTCATCGCATCACAGGCAGCAACAGCTGTGAGCGGCAGATACATTTGCATCTCTTTGGTCTGGTCAGGCAATTATCGGTGAAATTAGTCGTCGCCAAAGCGCAGCTAAGAGGTGGGCGGAAATGGCCGCTATCCGCAGGCCCCTTCCTACACTTGCATCTAATGTGAGAGATCGAGCCGGAGGATGGTGCACTTAGCGCACGGGGTCCCAAAAGCAAACCGAATTCGGCCACAAAAATTAATTCCCCCACGGATGTGGGAGTGGGAGGGACAAGAAGTCATTTGCGTCAACCATCCATCCTGGCAGCTGACAGCAAATTCAATTTGTAAATTTTCGTCTCATTGTTGCTCTTCGCCGGCTGGGAAGTGGGACGCCTGGCCAAAATGGTTGCAGCTGTTGGCCACATCACATCACAGTCAGAGCATCAAAGGCAGCCACAGTGGCAAAGAAACATGCAAAGTGCCCGAGACTGGGCAACAACTCGGTTTCAATTAAATGAAATTCAATTCAAATTAGTCCGTTAATTGAACTTACTGTGCGAGAAACGCAGATATCCGCAGGCGATTATATTAAATTATGAGGCAGTTCTACATGGAAACCGTTGAATCCGGATTAACTTGGCTCGGCTTTCCTACGCTTATAGATGAAAGAAAATATATATTATTTGCATTTTTTGTTCGCACTTTTCGTTTGGCAAACTGACCTTGTAACAAATATTCGCAAATTGCACCGGCAACAACAACAACAGCAACTACAGCTGCATTAAAAAACAACAAAGCCAAAAGTTGCACACACAAAAAAAAAATAACCACACGACATGGCAGAGTGTAGATACAAATGTATCTACACCATGCATCTGTATTTGTATCTTTGCGATTGTCTAGCTGGCGCTTGTACACAGAAAGAAAATTTGTTAAGATATAATTTCCGATACTATTATTTTAAATATTATAGATATTAAATAAATAAATAAAAGAAATAAAACAAGAAACAAGAAGAAGCATATCTATTTCGTTATTCAACTTAAATCTTGTCAAAGTCCCGATAATGCCAAACAGTAAAACAAATGTAAGCTTAAATCTATCTTAAATTATACACATCTTAAGAAGATGTGAATATCAGATTGTTTCTGTGTATCTTGTGTGCTCGACAGGCGCTAGTTTTAATGCTTACATAAAGTGGCGTGCACAAAAATACGAGTATATATAATACTTACCGAACAGAACCTGAACGGAGTCAAGACCGAAACAAACTCCGAGGCAGTGGGAATTTCGGGGGGAGGATGATGGCGTGCCCAAGTCGGTGACTCGGATTCGCATTATTGCCTCCAGTTCAGACGGCAGACACGGGCATATATCTTAGCACGAGCCACGTTTGATTGTTTGATTGAAATCCATGACAGTTTGGGAACTGCCTCCACCAGCGGCAGATTCACTGTGGGGGCAAATTCGCGAATAATGTGGTTCAAGGTGCTCCCGAATGGGAGCAGAAATCAGAAGCAAACAAAACGAAATCTAATAATAATTGCCATTGGATCGATGGGGCCAAATTAAAGTTTTATTATGGTAAAATTTCCATTTTTATTCGGTTGGTAACCAGACAAATGCATCGGACAAAAAAAAAGCAAAAGAAGAGCTCTTCAATTCAAACTGAATTGAACTCTCGCCAGTCATTCACCCACCCGGCGTATGGGTAATTTGTCTCAATTAATTGAGTATACGCAACGATTTACATTGCAGCCGTCGAAGAGATCTGCAACAGTTATGGCACGCGAAAAAAAAACAAAACAACAAGTAAAAGTAATGACCCGTTAGTGGAAAATGCAGCAGGGAAGCCCTTCTCAGAACTGCGTAACTCGACACGACATCACAGCCGGAGGTCGTCGCTTTTCAAATTGTATTTCCCTTCTCTTGCTGACCTTTTCGCATTTCGCTTTTCCTTTTCCCATTACGCTTTCCCGCTCTTGCCAACATTTCGCCAACATTTTGTTAAAGTGCACTTCCGTTGGGAACACAATCCGAGCTCGGATGCATCTTTACTGCTGGTTCGGGCAGCCAGAAATTCGTTATTAAGTGGTCGACACTCGAGTGCCATTTCAAGCAGGTCACAGTGGGCACTCGCCGGCGGCAACCGAACTAATTTGAAATCCACTCCATTCCCGCGAACAGATAAGCCGCCTTGATTGGACTGCAGCTAATCAAAAGGTGGCTCGATTAGGGCTATCAATGAAAGACGGATATTTTAGGTGTATCACCGAAAAAATAAAGGGGAAGTCTACAGTGACAGCAGCACAATAAGTTAATTGAGGGCGTGCCAGTGGTCACTAAGGTGTTCATTGTCTTTCGAAATATTTTTAGATACAACTGACAGTTGTATGCCGCCCTCACCTTTAGTTATCAGCCGCCCATTGTTAGCTGTCATTTGGCCAAAGTAATTTCCATTAGCAATTCACACATCCAATTTCGACTGACCACAAGAGAACACTCAACGCTCAACTTTTTACGCACACAATGAGGGGGGTTTTGGAAAGGGGTAGGGCAAATAACCCATTCATAAAGCATTTCCCCCGCAATTTAAATTTGATTTCTGTACAGAACAGTGCAAATTCATTTGCCGCACAATTTGATGTACGATTAAATTTTATTATTTCTATTTTTATGTGGCGCAGTAACACAACGCAGACCCAAACGAACTAGCTGCCGTTCCGTAATTACGAGCAATTTGTATTCACTTAGCATATGAGCACAATGGACACGCAGATTAGATTGTTTATAGAGTGGGTCGGACGGAATCAGAGCTGGAATCGTTCTGTGGGTGGGTGGGCATCTCAATGCAAACATTCTTGTCATCCGCACAGATGTTTGACAACATGCCCACTGTGCGTGCCAGCACACACACACGAAACCACAACTTAAATCTGAACAGTATGAAATATATGTGATATATATCTATAGATATGGGTACTCATTCAGTCGAACACGTCTCCCAAGCCAACGTGAGCGTCATATTAATTTATGAGCACCAGAAATGTGCCAAAAAGCCCAGACAAAAATTGAGTAAGTGCAAAAAAGATGAAAAATAAAATAAATTAACAACAAAAATTGAGTGAACAAAAAACAGCGAGTCGTCATCGTAAATTTGTTCACAAAGCAAGTGTAAACGTATCTGGCGAATGCGAGAACGCGTATCTGTAAGTCTGAGCTCAACGCTTTTGTCGCCATTTTTGGCAAGTTGCAAGTTACGCATTTGAGTGTTGAAATACTCGTATGTCTCGCCTGCGTTTTTGTGTCACTGCCCACAGAATAAAGCATTTGAAATATCGAAAATTCAACCACTCTCGATTTGGATTCGGAATGGCATCGAGGAGTTTGCACTCAAGTGGGCGTTTGCTTGGAATGTGGCAGCCACAGAGGCTTTTGGAAAATGCAGCGGACTTTGGCTTTTAATTCAGCTACACAAAGTTAGATATATATACAATCGCTTTCCAAATAATGCCCGGATTAACGAAACTAGAGCAAGCTATCTAGACACACACAGACAGCCGCGAAGTATACAAATAAGTAACGAGCTCTCGAGGAAAAATTTACCAAAATAAAGCATTAGAAATTTGAAAAAAACATCATTCACCCGACTTTACTTAACAAATTGTAGGCATTGTGTTGAGAAATTAAAACATATATTATGGCCTCAGTTATTGTACGTATGTATCACTAAAAAAATCTAATCAAATCTAAAATATGACCATTAAATATGTCATAATAATAATAATATTACTATGTGATTGTGATATGTAATATTCCCGATGCAACATTTAAAAAATTTCTTTCTTTCAGAAAGGACTTACTTTTCAGTAAACATACATAATGGTTTATGATTTTCCAAATTGTGGCTGCCCAATGTTGTTTTGCTTTGGACTTTTTAGGCAGTTCTTGGCGGCAGTAGACGGCGCTCCATTTAATCTAATCTTGAGCAAATAAATGGCATCATACACAAGCATATAGATATTATATATTCCGTCTGAGATATGATTGTTTGTTGTGGGCGTCGCTGGGTAGTTTTGCAGCTTGGATTTTGGACAGCGGGCGTTGAAAGTATTAAACTCAATGCACAGCTGCTGGTGACTGATTGACTTTTAATTGAGAATAATCACAGATTGATGGTATCTATCGAAAGACACACATGGATTTAATTACGGCCATGATACCTTTGACATTTGTTAGCCAACTCGATTCGAGAGTTCGATGTTTGTGCTGTGCAAATACAAAAAGTCGACAATAAATTCAGTAGCTGGCCCTGAATGAAATTTCTCCGCCCACCGGATTTGTTTTGAGCCTCCAAAGCCGTGACTGTGGCTGTGGTCCTTCAGTCATTTTACCACATTTCAATTTCCGTTTTTTGTTTTACGGCTGAAAGCATCAATTTTCGTTTTATTGATTTCGATTTTTATTGTCAACAACAACAGCAGCAGCGGCAGCAGCGGCGGCGGCAACGAAAGTGGAATTCGAAATGCAAATGGCAGCCGAATGACAACAACAAATACAGAGAGCAAAACAAAAAGCACTCACACACACACACACACACTCAAATGGAAAACTTTTTGTGAAACAAAAAGAAGAAAAATTTACGAACAAATCCAATTAACGCCTTGGGGTTTTCGGTTTTGATCCGGACTAAGATGCGTGTGGTTCTAGTCCGGGCTGAAATCAATTTTCGGCTCTTTTCCAACCAAAAACAAATGGTTCACCTCATTTCCTCGTCACTTTTCGTTTCGTTTCGTTTCGTTTATTTGCATTTTCGTTTCATTTGCTGCGCATTTGCACCCCCCACAAAACGGAAATGTTTGTCTCTCGACCTTCCTTCGTTTTTCCCACAGTTTGCAGCCCATTCACTCGGCGACCGGCGACCGGCGAGCGACCTTATCGCCCACCCACCCACTGAAATGGCACCCTGTCGCGTTTGATACACCGCCCCAGGGGGAGTGATACTTTTGGGGCAGATTAGCGCAGCTGCCAAGCGCCAGCAGCGACGCCTACTGTTGTTGCTCGGCGAGAGATATGCAAATTTCGGATGTGCTTATTATCCGGCTATGGCCGCCATTAGATATCTCTCGAGCTGATAAATTGCAGTCAAACGGGGAAACGCTCTTGCCAGGGTATAATCGAAAAGAAACATCGAGTTTTGGGGTCCTTCGGACCAATAATGTTGGTAGGTGCAGATTTGGGAGGCCATTTATTGTTCGATTTTATGACTGAGCTTATAATTTCTTGCTTTTCTGTTTGAGCATATTAAGCATACGCCATGTTGTGGCCCATAAAACACTGTAGCCATAAATAATTGCAGCTTTATATTTATGTTTGCCATGTGGTTAAGAAAAAATTTTGTTGGGGCAGGCAAAAGCATTAAAACCGCAAAATGTTTCGCAATTTTTCCGAAAAATAAACATTTAATTCATATTTATAGTTGTTTTATTATGCTTTCCGAAATAGTTAATATACATATCAATTAAAATGAAAAATCTAATAAATCTACTTAAGCCACTTTATCTTAAATTTTTTATGAATAAATGTTATAAATCTAAACAAAAAAACGATTTATTAGGCTTTATGTCCTAATTATAAAATCAGAGTGTCGTTATAATATGAACAAAATATTGATTAATGAGAGTGGAAAAAATAACACATTTGTTTTTTGCTTTTTTTCTATTTACCGCCTCTTAAATAAATTGTACCCACTTTTCCTAACACTCTTAAACGTTTAGTTGTCGCTAATGTATTATGTTTCATATGTGGACACAAAAGGGATAACAACTGTCGGCGGGTCAAGGATTTCGAGGTGTGTCCTTTGGCTGATAGCTGAGTGACAGGCTGCCAGTTGAGGGGTGCAAAATAGTCGGTGGATGGGCGGTCAATGGTTGGGACACATTACGCATACGCCCCGGGGCTGCCAGGCGAAGCACATTGATACGTCGTTTTCCCATTTTACAGTGAAATCGCATCAAAATAATTGACTTAATTAAGTATGCCAATGCTTGGGACTCTCTGCCAACCCCAAACGCTCATTGATTTATCGTCACTCAATCGCTGGGCCCCTCCCACCGCCGCCCACGCACATCCGGACCGCCATTTTTCATCCTGACACCTCCACACCCACCTGTGCGTGAATCGAATAAAATTGCACTCGGCCAAAGTTGAGCGTTCGCTTCATTTGTTAGCCAAGTTCTCGGCACGGAAAATTGAAGCAGCTGCGGATGTGGATGTGGATGTGGAAGTGGATGCAGAATCCGAAGTCGAAATCGAAGACCACTGATGCGGAATGGAGGTTTGCCAGAAGGTCACAAAAAAGCGCAGCCCAAGGCAGGCTTAACCACTGTCATCTACTTCTACCACCCAATCCACTCAACCATTCCAAACTGGAGGCTTTTTGAGCCTGAATAGTAATCGAGTGGCTCACCCTTCGCCATCCGCCACCCGCCATCCGCACGCCCGCCACCCTAAAGGGCTCAGTTAGCCCAGTTAGTTGCCAGGCTAACAGCTTTCGAGTCGGCTGGGTGTAATTAGCAAACTTTGCCCAGTTTGACTCGGAACGCTGTTAAAAGTTATTAAAATTCGCTCTTAATGTAAGCAAACTTCGAGCATATTGATTAAGGGCCCTGAATGGGTTTAATCTGCAAAACTAATTCCCAGACGGTTTGAGTGCAGGATGATGTAAAGTGAATCTAATCAATGGACGTTGGCAAGCATAACTTCAAATTTATCAGTTTATATAAGAGGGTCATTCTGGTTAAAACGTGACACAACATTTTTATCTTGACAAAAAAAAATGGAAATTGATAGATAAGTCAAACGACTGGTGGTTGTCTTTTTTGTATTGCCCCAAGTGCGTTTTATCAGAATCAGCCGATTAAAACAAAAATCATTTATGTATTGTCTTTCCGAGAAAAATATATTTTTATTGTTTAAGTCCGAGAGGTGAAATTTAAGTTTGTGATACGATTCACAAGGAATGACCCAAGTGAAAACTATTTAAATAATTACAGTACAAAGGTAAGAGAGATCAATAAAACCTTATTTCCCTGTATTAAATACCTCTTCAGTGGCAACATACCTAATTACAAATTTATTACTACTAGTTTGCTTTAAATTTTCGCCTGATATTTTGTTTTTGCTATGGTTTTAATTTAGCCATGGTTCAGTTTTGAGCTTCACTGAGCTCAAGTTAAGGAGGTCAGAAATAATTATTTGGATTATCTAGTATTAAAAAATAAACAATTTATGTACATATTACATTTTTTGATGTACAACTCATCAATTAAATATTCTGTATTTCACAAAGAGAATAAGGATTTAAAGCTGCATATTTATGTTCATAATTGGCAGATTATTAGCTCAGCCTAGCTGAAAGAGATATCGTAAACAAATTGAATTTCTGGAGGTAGATTTCGCCCCAGAATGTTTGATTATCAGGCGCACCCCATTCAAACACATATACCAATTGATGCTGGCGTATTTGTAGTTCGGTCTATTTTTGTGTTTTCTTCATCATCCACTACTTTATTTATTTTCTACGCATATTTTGATGCCATTGACGCGTGCGGAGTGGCATGTTATTATTGTTATTTCCCCTCCTTTTTTTTTGTGTGCCGCTGTCACTGCTGTTGACGCTGTCAATTTTAGTGGCTTTCATGCGGTTCAATGGGTTTAAACCGTCTGACGTATGCAAATGCAATCGGGGGATGAGTGATTGGGTGGGCGGCTTCTGTTTAATGTGATATACATAAGTGAGGAGCAGAAGCTGCAACCCATGGCCGGGAGAACCCATCTGAACCAATTTAAAGCCACGCGCCACCATTGCCAATCAGTCTTGGAATCTGTTCAACTTCATCGGTCGGCGGCGGCTAATTAACGGACATTCGGAACATGTTTCCATGTTCCCCGGCAATTGAACAAACGCCATGAGCTCATCCGCACAACACCAAAACACTGCGACGAAGTGAAGACGCGTTCGGAGGTAACACAAATCCGAGTTGCTCAATTAAAGCAAAGCAAAGCAAAACCGAGCAAATCAAATTAGGGGCAAACACGTTTACTGTTTTTTTCGCTCTCCACTCCGCAGTTTTGTCGAGCTTCGAGCTTTGAGCTTCCAGCGTCGAGCGATCTCGGCCCGCGGCAATTATGGCGACATCCAACGGGGCGGGGGGTTGTTCCGCTGGCTCCGCATTCGCGCTAGCACTCTGAAACACTCATACGCCGTGTGTGCCGGGCGTTTATCTCAATTTGCGAAATACGCAGATACAATTAGATATAGGCCCACAGATATCCAGACAATGTGTGGGCCTATCGCCGCAACAACCAGTCGCGTGTTAACATCGCTTCTAATTAAGCGCGATATCGCTGGAGAGATTCTCAAACTGTGTGTGTGTGTGTGTGGGGTTACCTTTCAAACAGGTTAATGTACTTCAAATCCATTTTATATCCTCGATTCCTGGCCACACCATCGATTGACCTTTTGATTGGACCAAAACAATAGCAAACTATCCGCCTCGCCTGTCATATTCTCTCTCATTAAAATCGATCCAAGACCGGGCCCAAATCGTTTGGATTCCTCGGCTGTTGGCTGTTGGCCCGACGGAGAGTAAACAATTGTAAATTGCTCTACGACATTTGTCTGCTTTCGCTTTGCTTGTTGCTGTTGCTTTCGGCCACGTTCCTTAATTACTCGTTCATTGCCTACCTGAATACCCAACTTACCCTGCCCCCCGCACCGCAACGCAAATAATTATTTGCATTAACATTAACGTTGAGCATGATTCAGCACTTAGATGAACCCACAAAGCCGTCTGATGGCCCCTGTCCACAGATAAACCCAGCAAACTAAAAGGGGAGTTGAAGGATGGGTTCAAATATTACCATAGATTGATGGATGGATGCAGATATAATATATGGCTCATGGTCAGGCATGCACATCCTACCCTTTGTCAATTGCTGAACTCAACATTCGA